ACTACAAGGTAGGAAATTATTGCTTATCTCATGTTATGAGGCAAGATTTCACATAGCAATACATTTACACATTTGCTTGCAAAAGCATTTAAGCCACATGTCACATTTACACATTCTTACATAAAGGGCGAAGATATACAAAAAAATAGTACAAGCAAGTTACCAAACACTACATATACATGAATGTATCCTAGTTGGAAACCCCATACTTAATATTCTAATATACATTTATTAATAAAGAGTAGCATTACAATTGCAATAGCATAATTACTCTTCTTGCGTCTCCTTTCTTAGCCTTTTATTACTCTCAACACCTGTAACATGAAGTAATAGAGTGTGATGTCTATCCTAATAACTTAAATAAACTCAAATAACAATTAATAAGTAAAATAAAACACAAGGGATAAAGTAGTAGAATTTTCACAATAATAAAAATATAAGTGATATGCAATGCATAAATAAAATGAATGACATGATGCACTAGTATCCATCAAACTTCTAGATCTCCTAACCGAATCCATAGGTTACAATAGGATCTCTCTAATAGGTCCAAGCTCACCTTCAGTGGAAGAAGTAGGGCCAATATCTCTTTACCACCTCTGAACTATGGATTCCTCCTAACCAATCGGTGGGTTGTCAAATCCTCCTCCTAGCAATCACTTACAAAGTAATAAGGAGTTACCCCTTATGCCTATTAGCTATGGTACACAAGGCATAAGCATCACATACACAGGAAAACCATGGTTACACGTCTCCACAAGTGAACTCCCACATCTAACACATATGAATGCTCATGCATTCCTAAGTCCCATTAGCGAATCATAATCAATGCTCTGAACTACCAGGGCTTCTTAACCTTATACAAAGTAGGGTTACTAGCCTCTACTTTAGACTAAGGTATGACTTTCTCATGCACACATGTACAAAGGCAACAGTAGCACATATCTTTCACATGCACTATTTTCACACACAATCACTCATGCACTATCTACCACATGCATTACATGTGTCACTTTTCATGATAAGGTTACTCTATCTATTTATAAATCATAATATAAATAAATTATATAAATAGCTCATAAATAATTTTACAAGCTAATTGATAGAAGAGTTTATTCAGTTATCTCAAACCTTTTTTACCAAGGATTACCATTTACAACATAACACCTTGTGATATGTAGATTTCCACAAGCAATTCCAAATTACTCTTTCCAAACTCAATTTGAAATACTAAATTTGGCTAAGTCACATTGCTTAGCACTCACATTCATACCATTTATACTTTTTAGGGTTCACTTAATCCATCCCATACAATCTCACACACTTGGCCACTAGAATGACTAAAATACCCTTCTCACACACTTTACAAATATTTTTGTCCTTTTTAACTTCACAATTTAGGTCAATTTGAGCCTATATCTCTAAGGCTCAACCATTAAACCCCAAATCAATTGCAAAACTTTAGTTTCGCACCCAAGACCCTTTTTAATACTAAGAGGTAAGAAAACAATCTTTTAAAATTCCCTAATTCAATTTCTCCATGACCCAAACTAAGAGAAATTAGAGTAGAAATGAAGTATAAGGTGATACGAAACTTACCCGATAAGTCATTAGTCGGAGCTAACTCCCAATCTCATAAAAATCGATGCATTAGCACACCAGAACCTCTGCCTCTCTCCCCCGTGCATTTCTCTTCCTCTTTCCTTCTAATTTTCATGAGCTGGCACTTCTAACTTATCCAAAATCTGTGCCATGTACCATGCACATACATCACATGCCGCGATGCGTGGCATAGTAAGACACTTCTCACCTTAGCCTGCACACTTCACTTCCAATCTCAATCCTTTTACCCAATCCTATTCACACATCAACCCAACAATACAAACATCAATTCACTATCCAAAACCACAATTAATTCACTAATTACTAATTTATCCCTAATTAGCAATTAGTTTCTTGAATTAAAAGTTTAGAATGTTACACATGCTCTAATGAAAGTTTAAGTTAGCTTTCTGTCCCTCATCAGGTTCTTAAATAGAACAATATCACCAACAACATTAGCCAATTGTAACGCATTCTCTATCAAAAGCTCCATAGGGAAGTCCATGGAATTGTACCTAAAAGGGGCATTTTGAGAAGTTGACTTTCGAATAAACCATATGATCATCCTCTAACACTATAGATTTAAGAGAAAGCCCTTTATGGACCAAGGTCTCCCTCTAACAATTCTATTATAATCTTCTACCCTATCGAACTGGAACACAAAAGCATTTTTGGCCATATCATGAATAGTTGCCTCCTCATCCAGTCCCAACCCTTTTTTGCCATTGAGATAACCACTCCCTTATTCAAATTCTTATAAGTCTCATAACGTCCCACCAAAGAACCTCCATTTCATTCTTTTTCCTTCCTTTCCATATTCAAAACCACCTCCTTAATTTTTTCCCTTCCACTACACTGCCCATCCTCCATTCCTCCAAATAACCATGTAGAAATACCAACACACACACACACCAACTCACTCACACAGGAAAAGAAGAAAAGAAAGGAAAAAACTCTCTATTGCACTCTCACACTTTTTTGACAATACAGTAGGTATCACCCCAAGAAGCAGATAAAGAAGGTTATCAAATGAAGACTCTTGCCTAACTCTCACGACGAAGAGGAAAAGTGACTGTCACGATGGAGAGAAAAACAATATATTAGTACCAAATTAGTACTTTTCACTTAACTATATATGCATCCCCATCCTATATATAAGTCACCTTTTAGAAGTAATTAATGGCCTTTTTTGATAAGTCACTTTGCATATATAAAAACATGTATCATTAATTACTTTCTTTCAATTTTGGCCTTTCACAATTTTTTTATGTGGAGTAAAAGGTTACATATCAGATTTTAAAAACAATGCATTTAATAAGGGTAAACTAGAAAATTTCTTTCTTTTTATTAGAAAACATCAATAATTTAATTATATTTCTCTTTGATGTCAGTAAGGTAGTTAGAGTGACTCCTAAAATAGACAAAATCTACCTTCATCGTCATCATGCAGCAACAAAAAAGCTACTAGTTGTGCATCATGTTCATGCATTTAACAAAACATAGCCAAACATTTACCTAACAAAACGTGGGACACGTGCTGATAATATGTATTTGTTCGCAACTCCATATATTTAAAAATGTCTTTTGGGTTTCTTTTTAGTGTTTTTGGCCATTCCCTTGTTTATTGACTTGATTTGGAAATGAACCATTCCATCAGCATCAAATTACTTGTTTCATGACATCGGCGACAAAGACAAAGCCATTACCAACACTCAAAGAATCACTGACAATATCAAGCTCCAGACCTTGAAGACAAAAAACTAGCCACAACAACATACACACGCTAAATGAACTTCACATCAAGAAGCTAAGGCTGCCCATGCTTGATGTTGATAGCTCGGAAAATCAAAGACCTCTTGCTAGTTCATGACATACTAGCGCAAAATAGTATTTTAATACATGTTTTCATTTGCATAAATAATAGTGGTAGTAATGGATTCAATGGCGCTTATGTAAATGGGAGAGAAAAGTTAATTATTATGGCCACTAGTTTAGCATATTCTCATTAAAAAAAATGGATGGCAATTGGATTAGCAGTTTCATAAAATAAAATTTAAAAATAAGGAAAATACTTCACTTCGGGGGCCTATACTTTAATTGTGTTTGTTTTTTGTTCTTGTAGTTCATTTACTTGTTTCTCATTCCTACTATTTGATTCATCTGCAATGTTAGTCTTTCTAGTTTAAAAAATATATATATAAGGACCATGAGTTAGCCTGAATGGTGTCAATTCTAAAATCTTTCAAATTCAATTTAAAAAAAAAAAATTCCTCCTCCACATTAGGTGTGGGAGAATTATTGGGAAAGGAGTGGTCAATGTGGGATTTGGTCTTTGATAGAATAACTCACAAGCTTCAAGGTAATAGTCATCATTGTTAAAAGTTTTGTTGTCACTTCATATAATTAAAGTCGTTAATTGTTAATTAAAATGACGTAGTTATTGTTCAGTACCAACAAGAGTTGGATTGGAATTTGGTCTTTGATAATATAATGCAAATATTATATAAAAATAACTCCTAAGCTTAGGTAATAGTTGTCATTGGTAAAAAGTTCGTTGCCATTTTATATAATTAAAGTCTTTAATTGTTAACTAAAATGAAGTAATCATGGATCAGTACCAATGGGAGTTAAATTTAATAGAAAGAGCTAGTTCCTAGTAACACAACAAACCATAATTTAAATCCTCACTAGAAGATATGTTTATATCTAATATTCGATCATACCTCAAATGAAATTCATTTTAATAGAATGAAACATGTACACAATCAAAAAGTCAGATTAGTGCACCTAAAATCAAAATGTTGTGAAAGCTAATGCTAATGATCCATCAACTTGGTAACATGTATGTCTACGTCAACACCTGGGAATACTTCCTCGGTTGTGTGTTTCAAATTAGAGAAAATATCATTCAAGAACTTTTAAGGATACTTGATATCCAATTAAGATTAAAAAAATTTGAAATATCACTGCAACATCAAGAAATTAATTTGAAAATAATTTTAGATGGAAAAAGACTATAACATTCTTACTTTTTTTTTTTTAAACTCTCAATTAGAGAATATCTTTTTGTTAGATGTGAATAAGCACTTGTCAATTAATGAATGACTATTTGTTAAAATATGATGTACGTTTATCCCTTTCCACAACCAAAATCTCATATTCTTGAACTTATAAATTAGTTAATAACTTCTTATTAAATATATATAAATACTTGTTAATTATTGAATGGTTAGTTGTTATATTTTTGTTATTTCTCATACAAACTTATTTTCAATTTTGTCTTTAGTTTGGGCAGAATATTTCAAAATCTATGATTCGTTTTGGGATAGTAAACTGCCCCGGGCAGTCTTTCATTGAGACTTTCCTAAATTTATAGTACTAAATATGGAGTATTATAATAGACAAACGGGATTACTTTCAATTGTCATGATCATCATCCCTTTCCATCCACCAAGGGAAACCTATACAGCATATCAATTTTCTCCTCCCTAATAAATTAGTAATTTCCCGCAACTGTCTTCATTTAAGGTCATAAAGCCATTTTGCAAAGTAAAAGCATTCCAATTACTCAAAAGTCTCTAACCAAACCATGAACACTCACAGCCTTGCGTGTTGTTGTTTGGTTCTCACCTTCACAACGTCCTTCAGTACTATTCCTTCTAATGCAAAACAAACCCCACCATCTTCAGATATCTTCAAAATCCACCATGTTTGGCACCAAGTTCTGCAACGAGAAAGCACAACACAAGAATTCATAACACCCCATGATCATTCACTTACATCTCTCCCAATCGTGCTTGCAGCAATCTTCTGCTTCATAGCTTCCTCTATTGCCAGTGCCGGTGGACTAGGTGGTGGTGGACTTTTCATACCCATTTTAACTATTGTGGCTAAACTAGACCTCAAAACAGCTTCAAGTCTCTCATCTTTCATGGTTACAGGTGGGTCAATCGCAAATGTCCTGTGCAATTTGTGCAGAAGTTGTGAGTTCGGAGGCAAGTCATTGATTGATTATGACATAGCTCTTTGTTCAGAACCTTGCATGCTTCTTGGAGTGAGTTTTGGAGTTATCTGCAACAGAGTGTTCCCAGAATGGTTAATCACTCTTCTGTTTGCTATTTTCCTTGTCTGGTCACTCTGCAAAACATGTAAGAGAGGGTTGATGTTATGGAAGATTGAGTCAGAAGAAAAAAGGAAAAATGATGGGTTTGAGGAAGCTGGAAAGGGGAATTTTGAGGCAACTCGCAATCCGAGTGACAAAGAAAATACCAGATTGAAGCTTCCATGGATGAAATTAGGGGCTTTGCTTTTGGTTTGGCTTTCTTTCTTCTCTCTCTATTTTCTTCAAGGCAATGGATATGGACAGGTAAGGAATTTTTTTCCCCTTCATCTTCCTCTGTGTCTGATTTAATTTGCAGACTAGGATTAAATTCAGAATTATAACCCTGAATATTAACAGAGATATAAAATTCAACATAATTATTGTATACTACAATAAAATTCTAATGTTTAAGCACAAATTAAAATGTATCAACATATTTGATATAAAAAAATTACCTTTTTTTTCAAGTCCCAGTACTTCACAGTAATAATAGGGTCAATGCCTATGCTTCTACTAATTTAATCATGTTTCTTATAGATTGATTCAGTTTCATAATATTATTCACATGATGCATGTGTTTAGTGAAAGGTCAGTAATGTCAAAGATCAAATAAGTGCAGAGTATCATTCACATGAAGCCCTGTGGTGTGGGACACTGGATTCTCTCATCAGCTCAAGTGCCTCTTGCTGTGATTTTCACAGCTTGGATTGTGTTTAGTGAAAGAAGCTTGCAACCTCAAACTCAAACACAACAGGTCCTTAAAACAGCACCAATTGAAAAGCATTTTTTTTTTTTTTAACTGGCTCTTGAATGTTCCTCACAACTTCATCCTATCAAAATGAAGCTAACTACAATGGAAATGTGATGCAGGGTCAAGACCTGTGCAGAGATGCACCATCAAAGAAGCTTCTCTTTCCTTTGATGGCACTGCTAGCAGGGATTTTGGGTGGTGTTTTTGGAATAGGAGGTGGAATGTTAGTGAGTCCATTTCTTCTTCAGGTTGGAATAGGACCTGAGGTAAGTTTATAAAATTTTATTTTCAATTTTATTAAAATTACATAGAATTTCCTTCTACTTTTAAAGAAGTCCGAATAGCTTCAACAAATTCAAGGAAAGTTCAAATTAATTTTGAAGACAAAGAGAAAGTTTACTAAATTTCAGTGAAAATTAAGTATATTTAATTTACTGAAATAAGTTTATATGGAGTGAAATACAGAGAATGTAAAATACAGAGAATGGATCCTCTAAAGCTGTAACCCTCTAATGCTGGTGAAGTTACATGCCTTTTATTTTTTATTTTTTAGTTTTAGTATAAGAATGTCTACCAATGAAATAAAGAACTTTCCTATAAAAATTGAATTATATTAAAGATCATCTTTTAAGTCCTTATTTGTTTGACCTACTCATAAATATTTTGACTAAGTATATTCAAGAGAAAATCCCCTAATGCATGCTTTTTACAATAATATAGTTCTTATTGCAGAAATAAGAAAATAAATTAACTATAAACTTAAGTGATGGAGAAAGACATTGGAATCAAAAGGTTTCTGCCTAAATAAAAGTAAAACAGAATATTCGCATTGTAATTGTAATTTTGATAAGAGGTCAATCATTAGTAATTTGAAAGTGAAATTGAAAGATTAAATTATACCTCAAATGAAAAAATTTAGAGATTTGAAAGCTATTATTCACATCATGAAAATATTGCACATAGGATACAAGCTAGGTGGTTCAATTGGGAAAAAACTAAAGGAGTTATTTATGATAGTAAGGTATCTAATAAACTTAAAGAAAGTTTTTATCAAATTGCTATAAAACTAACTATGATATATGATAGGGCTTTAATGGGCCAGCAAAAACATAAAGTTAGAGTAGCAAAAATAAAAATGTTTAGATGGATGTGCAGTCATGGACCTAAAGAAAAAATTCAAAATTAGCACATACAAAAAAAAGTGAATGTAGCACTTATTATGAGAAAAATGGTAGAAAATTATTTGAAATAGTTTGAACATGTACAAAGAAGACTGCAGGAGATAATAGTGAGGAGTGGAACAGATAATTCTGAACCTTATTAAGAGAGGTAAAGGAAGGCTAAAGAAAATACTTATGAAAATTGTTGACCGAGACCTTTAGGTCAACATTCCTAAAAGCTTGATAAATGTTAGTATAATGAAATTATACAATCCATATAGTCGACCCCATCTAGTGGGATAGGGCTTATTAGTTTTAACAAGCAAAAATAAGGGGAAAGAATGAAACATAGTAGGCATTTTAAGTGATGAAGGTCTAACTTCACCAACTTCTATATGACCCTCATCTTTAGAGAATCCCCATGCGTAAAACACATTAATCACCCAAGAATTTAGTACAGTCAAAATATATTTTCATAGTAAATAAAAAAAAATTACACATTTGATGTCCATTTCAAGAAAGACATTATTTTACTTTAAAATATGTTACATATAATTTGCATTAAACTTTAACACAATAACTTCTATTTGTATCTATAGATAACAGCAGCAACATGCTCCTTCATGGTTTTGTTCTCGTCAACAATGTCAACATTACAGTATGGATTGATGGGCATGGAAGATATAAAGAAAGCCTTGATATTGAGCACAATAAGTTTCGTAGCATCCCTCGTGGGGTTATTAGTGCTGCAGAGAGCTGTTCGAAAGTATAAAAGGGCATCTTTAATTGTCTTCTCAATAAGCGTAGTCATGGCTTTAAGTATTGTCCTAATGACTAGCTATGGGGTCATTGACGTTTGGAGGGACTATAAATCTGGGAAACACATGGGGTTCAAAGCACTCTGTAAAATGGAACAATCTTCTTAAACCAGTTCCAGTGGTATGCTAGCTGCTATGAGTAGTAGACAAAACTATGGTTTAGTCCCAAGGGGAAACAAAAAAAGGCATTCTTAATTTGGTATTCCACAGCACAGTGGTTTTTTTTTTTTTTAAAATCAGGCTAGTACTCCAACATAGTTATAAAATCCAAATCAAAAAGCATATTCCCAGGACTGCATACTTGTTATGCATCTACAGCTGACAGCAGCAACAAGAACTATCACGGCTTTGTGCTCATGAACAATGTCATACTGGATATGTACTCTGAAAAAGCAGCATTTGTTGCCCCTAATAAATGGAGCTGAAGGGGACAGATGGTATCAAGAACTAATTCGAAGTCCTATTAATCCGGACATACAAACCTGATACCATGTCAAAAGTAGTTCAATTCAGCAGTTTCATATGCTAAGTAAAAGCTTGTGAATCTCTAGTATTATATTGGCAAAAGTAAATCTCAAGTGTTTGGCATAATGGTTATTGATGCATTGGATTGCTTAACCAGGTCGATAAGGAAGATACACCAGTAACATCATTCACAAAAGAATCTACCTTCAGTTGACACAAAAGCTGATTCAAGAATATCCTTACCAGACAACAAATTATAATGCCTACATGTACAAGTTCCGATTAAATTTAAGATGACAAACTATACAGACAGTTACCAAAGCAATGAAATCTTAAAACATAAAACTTGAATGTCATATCATTAAGTTCCTTATTTTTTCTCCATCTTTTAATTATATTTATTGTTATATTCTTATCCCTTAAATTTTATCTTTTCCTAATAAAATCTCTCAACCTTTCAAACATCGTCAGATATGTACTTCTTCAGCCTCATTCTATTATTGTTGTCAATGGTGCATGAATAGCATTAGGCTTAAAAACTCCAATGACACAATGCAAGCGCTACGGCTTTTAGGGGGGAAAAAAAAAAACTAGTTTACATTTTTATATAAACATAATTAACAGAGACAAAAAAAAAACACTAAATACTAATAATACAGAAAGATATCATGTAAAACAGGAAAAACGCAAAATGAAAAAGAAAGAGGTCTGTTCTATCTGGGGGGTGTTGGATCGATAAAAGACAAAAGCTTTTAAAAATTCCCACAAAGTCTCCCCGTCCAATATAGGTAAAGATACTGATACTGATAAAAACAAACAAAAAGATTTTGCACACAACACACCGACATAAAACAATTAAACAATACTGTTTAATTAAAACAACTGAAAAAAAAAATGCAGTTTCCTGCGTAAGTCAACAGAATAACAAAATAAATATAAAAATGAAGAAGAAAAACTGTCACACTCCAACACTAAAGGTATGATCAGTATAAAATATGAAAACTCAAATTCCATAAACCTTAATAACTAGAAGTTAAACTAAAATATTGATATATGTAAGTTATATATATTAATAAAGTTCGTAAAGTTTTTAAATGTTCTGTAGAAATTTCAACAAAACCTCTCCTATAATTCGAAACTCCTAAAATTTCCACAACAACAAAATCTGACAACCAAACCAGCAAAAAGACTAGCTCCATTTCAGCAATTCACACAATAACAAAATAAGACTAGGACCTAACTATGGTGTACGTGAAGCACCAAGCTATGATTACAAAAGACAATACATAGTTTTACCAAAACAATAATCACAATATGCCTCCTCTTTTTCAAAAAGCAAAAAAAGGCTGTCAATGATCTGCCGGAGGAACTTATAACATCTGAGACTAAAGAAATTACCAGTGAGTAGCGTTCCAATCAAAATTATAATAAAGAAAGTACGAAGATAAATAATAAATTTAACTTCAAATAACTTAATGAAATAATGAATTATATCCTTAAGCGAGAATAAATAATGATTTTTCTCAACAATATGATTGTGAAATTAAACAATGCTAACAGAATCACATATATGTATAAAAGAATTTTACTGCTTATAAAATATAAACATTTCCAATATTAGTGAAGTTCGATAAAGTATTTTCAAAGAATTTCTTGAGAAATGATAAATTTTAACTTAAATTTGGGAAGACTTTATTAGAACGAATAACAAGCATAGACACATAATCCACGAGCATAAATAACCAATCAAGCATGAACACACAATCCACGAGGGCAAGTAACCAATCAAGCGGGGCTGAAAGCCACGAAACAAGCATAGGCATGAAGCCTACGAAAACAAGCGTGAGTACAATACTCACAAATAACCATCCTTCGTTTCAAGTGCGTTTGCCATCACATAAAACTAGCACCTCCTATAAGCACCTTGCTAGCTAGGTGTACCATAACACATCAAGGGCTAACAAGACTACCGTTAGCATCTAACATTGTGAACTCAATTCTAGTCAATAAAACCAAACATGTATGGAGTGAGAAAACATTTTCAAGATTTTCTCTATCAAACACCATTCAACCATCATTTTCTATTATTCAAATTAAACATTATTTCCTCCATACATGAATCATTACATTAAATTTTTTTTTAAACAACATAAAATTTAGTAATTAAACTACTAAAAAAATTTACATCATAAATCATATGTACGTTCCACTCATTACCTTTCAACAATTTAAATCATCCACAAAATCAAGACATTTTCATTAAAAAGACAATTATTAGAACAAAAATAGGATTAACAATGATATTTATACAATTTATAAAAGATTAATAGTAACATTTAAATAAAGAATTTATAATCACTTTACTATAATTTATCTGGAGTGCAAACCACTCACCTGATAGTTTTTTTTCCAAATTCTAAAGCATGCTTCTCTTAATCTTTCATTTTAATTCTAATGGTGTTTCTGATTTCCTAACAAATAAATCATAATTCTAAAATCATTTATCAAGAAATTTTCCAATCACTAGCTGGGCATTAGAATTCAATCCAAACAATATTAAAAATAATACTTTAACAAATTATATTTCAAATATATTTAGGTTAGTTAAATCATTTGACAGCTTCCAATTTATCCTCATATTTCTTTATGACTTATACTAACTCATAACTCATAAAAACCATATCAATCATTTTTAAGTTTTCTCTAGACTAAAAAAAATGTAAAACACCATATGTAATCATATCTCCCATTTGGTATTTTAAAATTTTTAATTCATAACTTGAATCAAAATTGTAGATACTTCTCAAACTATAGCATGGAAGCTTTAACAACCCACAATTCACCAAATCTCCCCTCACACATATTTACAAATACCTTGAGGGCATGTATTTATTATTGACAAATTTATGAGATAAACACCCATACAATTTGATAGAACCCTCTACACTAATAAACTTAAAACAAGCAAAAATACAGAAAAATACACAGCAAATCGGTCTGACCAGAATAATGGATTTGTGTTACAAGCAAAATAAGGAATTGAAAGTACAGATAGCATGAAACAACACAGTACAAACCAGTACAGCAACACAAACATAAGCTACACATGAACAAATGATGAAGAAAAATATCTTCCTCCACCCTAATCTGGCATTTGAGAGGCCAGAGCTCTCCTCACCACTCAAAATTTTCAAAATACTCCACACCCTCCCTCTGCACGAAAGGAAAGGAAAGGAAAGATTTAAAGCCCCAAAAAGTTACAAAAGGTTGAGCATAATCCTAGCTGAACCTAATCCCTATTCATACATCACCTTGTCCACCTATGGCCAGGAACCTTTGGGTAACTCTCTTATCCACTGGAAGATAATTCTTTAGTCTCTTTCCTACAACATGCCCCTTCATATAGACTATGTTATAGGCCCTAGGAAATAATATATAAATCTGTTCTAATTCTTCAGCTCTATCACAATTCAACAACTTTCTTTCCATCAATATCTTCTTTTAAACATATCTAAGTAAGTTCCACAACTTCCAACATTAAATTCTATAATTATATATCAGCTCAACATCACCACAGAACCATTTTCCAGCATCAACCGAAATTTCTTCTTAAACCTAACTAAAAATATTACAACAACAGTGAAAAACAGAGGCTGCACCCGGCAGCTAGAGAAAAGAAGGAATAATTCAATGTTGCTGCTGTCAATGATAGTTTAAGATCAGCACGTGACTGGAATTGAAGAAGGGAAAGAGAAGAACTCCAGTCTGCTGTGTACGCACGAGAAAGAAGACAGAGAACCAGCAATGCACAACTCAAATTACCATACACACATAGACTTCCAACGGTTGAAGGGAAAGAAAAGAAAGCCTGAATATACACGCAAAAACGCACCTGTTTTAGCCACAGAACTACAAAGAACAGGGCAGAATTTCAGCTCAGCACCAGACAGAAAATGGACGAACAGCAGAGATGAACCAGTGAAACAAGAGGCATGCTGATGATGACAAGAAGAACAAGTTGGAGGTGAGGAGGAAGGGCTCGATAATGATGAGAAAAAAAAAAGAAATCTAAGGTCAGTGAAGAGAAGAGACGAGAATACTCTGTTTTTGCTTTCACGCAAGTTATAAAATTTGATCAAAGAATATTTGGGAAAATTACAGGAAAAGGAATGAGAAAATCACAAGAAAGGGCAAAGAAAATTACCATAAAGAGCACAAAATTTCCTATAGTTTAAAATAAAATAAAATCAAACTTGCTAAAAAAATTATTTAAATAAAATATCCCTCAGGAGAAAAATTTTATTCAATTTAAAATTTAAGGTCATTATAAAAACAGACGAACAATGGCATTTTGATGGGTGCCTAAGTGAGATGAGGTACCCTACCCCAAAAACTAACTGTTAAAGTGGGAGAACCAACCCGCTTATATACCCATTGAGCATCCCATACTACTCAATGTGGGACTTGGTATCCCATACTACCAAGCCTTGACCCCCTTATGGGCATCCCAATGGCTGCACTCCACAACACTTAACTCGATCTCCTTCCAGTCAAAACCCTTTATGGATAGCCCTCTCCGGAATCTCTGACAATGAGGCTCTAATACCAATTGATGGGTACGTAAGTGGGATGGTAAACCCTATTCCAAAAGCTAGCTTTTGAAATGGGAAAACCAACCCATTTATATACCCCATTGAGCATCCAATACTACTCAACGTGGGACTCAGTATCCCATACTATCAAGTCTTCGTCATAGTCCAAAATAAACAAAATAAAGGAAGAAACAGTAGAGAACTTACTTCCCTTTGGATGTCTTGAGTCTTCCTGAATGTTTCAGGTCTCTGTAGTTCTAAACTTAAGTTCTGTAATCTGTACATACAAGAAAAGTTGTAAGCTTCTCATATCAAAGGAACCTTCTATCTGTTTTTGAATTTAAATTACCCCAAGGGTCACAAATATCCTCAGATGACAGTTTTGTGGAGAAAACATTCAGGCTTAGGCTTATATTTATTTTTTTCTACATTCCACAATGATGGATGCCATTCATCGTGATGACTACACTAAAGTGGGTGTCATGACAGCACCATGTAGTATGGAAGGATGGCATGATATTTTTCTCCAAAGTCAGCCATACTACAAGGCAGCATGGCAACCTAGTGGCTACCATTGACAAAACACCCTGTCATCCCCTGCTTCCAACAATGTTTTCTCATCCCTCATACAGAAGTTAGAGAGATAAAGCTACGGTGAGAGCAGAAGAAAGAAAAATATGATGAATGAGACAGCAAAAAGTGACGCTTAAGATGCCATGTTAAGCTAACAGAGTGAAGTTGGAGAACATGTTAAGTTAGGAAAGTTGAAGGATTCCACAGAAAAATTTTCAGGGAACAACAATAATAATTTGGCCTTATTATAGTCTTTTAAGGGCCTGTTTGTTTACAGGTTCCATTCCTCTATACAAATATATTATATCATCAAATAATTATTTTTCCTTTTTTTATACTTTTTAAAAGTAAAGATACAAGAGTTTTCACCATTTAAATAATTTTTCTTTCTACTTTCTATATTATTTTTTCCTTTTTGTATGCCAAATAAACAGTTACATTCTCCTTCAAGCAAAAAGAGTGTGAACTCACAGTCTCAACATCCTATTCTTGAAACTTTATCATAATGGACAGAATAAAGAGCAGCTCAAATTCCCGTTCCCTTGCTCAGAGGCTTGTCTTAATGGAACCTGTCCACTTCAATAATGGCTTGTCTTAATCTGTGTTTTGAATAATTTCATTATAATTTTAAACAATGACATTTAAACTGACATGCTTGTGGCGTGTTTTATGGGTTTGATCTGAGAAATAAGCAAGAGACACCAATTAAAGAAGTGAAATTTTTAAACTCAGAATATTACTTTTGAACTTACAACATACAACATAAACAGTATCATCACAAAAGGGTTCCACCTGAAATCCCTGTAAGGGCTGGCCCAGAAGGACTGCAAGCATATATCTTACAGATTACAAAGTAACATGCTTAACTATGCAACTGAGACACGAATGGACTGAACAAACCCATCTATCCTTTTCTTTAACTCTTCTGGGTTGGCACCAATGATCTTATCCACCACAGTCCCATCCTTAAAAAGCACAAACGTCGGCATGGCTTTTATCTCCAACCTGGTGGCCACATCCTGACCAAAAGAATTCCAAAATGTCTAATTATCATGACCAAAATGATCTCAAAACTTTCAGATGATAAAATTACCCAAGCATGAGTTATAACATGCCAAGCTAGGCCATCAATTCAATCAGTAAGCAAATGTGAGAATGAAAGATGTAAGATGTTGATCAACAGAATATCTATATTTCTTTGTGGGTGACTGTTGGACCCATAGCTCATGGGCTGAGCTGGTAACTAACTATAGGGTTGAGGTGTGAAGCGTGTGAGTGTATGAGAGAAGGCTGTTAGTTGTATATACATCTATGGAGTGATGGTTATGGAAGGGTAAGCAATTGGTGAGTGCTGCTTATCTTTCTAAGACCTACACTCTAGCAAGGTTATTGTGAATTTTAATACTTGAGTTTGGGTTCTGTCAGTGACGCACCACTAATTCAACTAGATAAACATAAGTAAGAATGAAAAATATGTTGATTAGAAGAAAGAATACATATAACACACAATATCTATCACACTCACACACACAAAAAGAGAAAGAGAGTAGACAGATTACAAATATGTATCCTGATATATGTTTAACTTCAAGCATGTAATCAGGTAGCATCCATATACTCCATATGTTTTCAGAAGCATCGAGAAATGGCATCCAGGCTCAAAAGTATAATTATTAAAAATTGAATGGATTACCTTGACTTCATCAACATCAACAGTCAGAAAAAGAACATCTTGATAGCTTGAAGCCAGTTCTTCAAAAAAAGGATTCATAGCCACCGAGGGCATGCACCAGCAAGCAGTGAAGTGCACAACAACCTACCATCAATACCAGAGATTCAGAGAAATACAATATTAAATGTGCCATCAGGCCACAAAACAAGCACTGTGACATCCAAATTAAAGCAAACACGTGTTTTTCAAAAAAGATCCCAAAGGGCATTTAACGAGCCATTATACCATTTCCAGAATCATTTCATTACAGGGTTGTAAATCATCTGAACAAACATTTAAAATATCCAATATATAGACGAAAATCTATTACAAGAGAGAGCACTATGGAAGCCCAGCCAAAAAAAAAACAAAAAGAAAACACAATACACCCAGGATCCAAATTGACGCAAACGTGTTTCGGTGTCAACAAGTTTCTGAAACAGTATTTGAAAATGAACCAAATCTTTAACTCCTATTTATAAAATCATTCCATAACCCTATAAAAATTTGATGGCTTGTGTAGAGGAATGTATCTAAGTTCACGTCTTCTGAACAAGAATCCTCCGCTTATAAATTAAGAATGGGAAAGATATAACGTTGACTCGAATAGAATACGGATCATAATTAGTAAATCAACTTAAAGAACAAGAACATTATAAATACCCAATTTACAGTCTGAAATGGTTCACTTACAGGGCAGTTCTGATTAGTGGCCTGGTCAACATAGGAGTCCCAAGATTGCGATGAATCAATAACCACAACCTTTGACTTCTGAGGCTCATGTACTTCCATTTCCAGTTCCTTCTCCAACTTCAACACCTCCTTGAGGATTTCCCTCTATCTCCAAGGTTTTTTCTTGTTACCTCGAAGACACTAGGTTGATTTAGATGAGATAAATAAACGTGATTTAATTGCCGTGGACCCATTATTTATTGATCATTTAATCTCCTTTCCTTGATAAGAAAACCCACTTACTCAGCACGAAACTTGCAGAAGAAGATAAGTATATTGTTTGGGCTAAACTCAGAATAAATTTTAGATATTTTGACAGAAAATGACAAATTATCTAAAGCATAAACATTATACAATGATGAATTCCAGAACGGACGAATAACCAAAAGAATTAAAGTGATACAATGGAACAAACGAGTGTTCAATAATGTAATTGTCCGATGGGCGCCCACAGCTCAGTCTGGAAGATTCTCAAGTCGCAGTTGGATAAGATCGATGGAAAGAAACACCTTATCCACGAAGGACATTCTTATATCATGATGAAAATGAAAGCTAGACGAAAATCGTACACTTACTCTTCATTCTAAAAATATAAATTAATTTTAATCAAATTTTATCTTTTAATAAAATAATTACTTACTTTTTAATTAATTTTATTTTTTTATATTTATTTTTATTAAACACCTTATAATTAATATAAAGTTATTATTAATAAAGATACTTTAAAAAAAATAATGATTACATCTCGAAAAATTAAAAATATCTTACATTTTTTAACATCTAACTCTTCAAAAAATATCTTATATTTTTAAATAGAGAGAGTATTTACTTACATTTATTAATTAAAAAAAACATTGTTTTTTATCTTTATAATTTACTCACGTTTTCGTTTTAATCTTTATATTTTTTTTATATTTTAAATTTTTATATTTTTATTTTTTATTATTTTTAATTCTTTTATAAATAAAATATAAGAATTTTAGAGAGATAAAAAATAATAAAATCTAAAAATTTAAAATACTAAAAAAAATTACAGGAACTAAAAGCTATTTTTTTAATAAATTTAACATATTTTTTATTCAATGTGTTAATAAAATTAATAACATTGATGAAAAAATAAATTAATAATAATTTTTTAAAAAAATAAATAATTTATAAAAAAATCATACCTTAATTTAATTAAAAATAAATTATATAAAATTAGATATATATAAGTTTATTTTAAAAATAAAATACTAAATTATGAGTATTTTCTTTTTAGTCATTAAAAAATACGAGTATCTTGTCCAAAAAATAAGAAAGTATGAGTGTTTTCAATGATATCGTAATTTTTCATACAAAATAATTAATTACTTAAAATTTCCATCCAATTATAAGTATTAAAATTTAATATGTAAATATAAAAAATTGTCTTTTCAATAAAAAAAAAAATATATATATATATATATAAAAAAATTTGTCTTGTAAATAAACTAAAGGAAAAATTAAAAAGCAAAAAGAAGGCCCAACTCCAAGAAAAGCAACCGGGCCAGGTTCAATTAATGAAACACTTTATGCCTATTGATGAAAATGGTCTGAGCTTTGGGCTTGGGTTTGATTCCCAATATGGGCAAGATTCAATTAATGAAACCAAAAGTGAGGCCCAACTCGGACAAAAGAAAATGGACCAGCACATTACAGGCAACCCGCTAAGCCATTTGATGAAAATGGTTGTGAGCATTGGGCTTGGCTTTGACTTCCAATATGGGCCGAGAGATAGCAATATTACTGCGTGTCCAATAAAATTGGAAGTGTGACACATATGCAAGAATGACATGCGCCAATCAAAAAGTAATAATTGGCCCTATGAAAGAATCCAAAGCCTCCCGGGGAACAATGGCGATGGCAAGGGTATGTTAGTTTAATTTTTATCTATTTATGGTTTTTTTATGGATTTAAATTTTCTTTGTTGAAATTTTCAAGGGGCAGCTAATAAACATTTTTTGAATACTCTTAAAATTTTTATTAAGGAGTATCGAATTTCTATTGTGATTTTTTTTTTTTAATAAAAGGGCAGATGTATTAATACTCAAAAGGAACTATACAAGGGAAACAAAGAAGACAAAATTACATCATGCTGCTAAAAACAGAGAAGGAGCATATAGAATGATTAACAATAGCTTTGATATGAGAGAGCACAGTATGAACATCAAAGTTCTCATCAGTGAATTAATATCCACAGCTTCCAACAAACAATGTTGATTCCTATCTTCCAAGACTTGTCGAGAGCAGGATTGTGCAAAATGAATGAGCCATGAGTCAGTTTCCTTACCCTAAAATTCAATGCACATATCAGAGGGTATTTCTATTGTGATTTTAGTTGAACCCCAGATATCAAAGAAAAGTGTCGATAAGTTTGCTAGACACGCAGGCAGGTTCTGAGTTCTCTCATAGACTTGAAGCTTGAGGGATTCTTGGGTGGTATTTGGATTTTATGGAACAATAATGTTAAAATTGATGTTCTCTTCAACCATAAACAATTCATTCATACACGTGTCATCACGATGATGGAGGGGAGGAGCTTTTTGTTAACCGCAATCTATGGCAAATTATTGCAGCTAAAAATTTTTAGTAATGATTTTAATGCCATTCTTAACAATGATGAGCGTATAGGTGGTGCTCATGCTGTTTCAACTATTTTTAATTGAGACTGGACTGCAAGATCTGGGATTCTGTGGGCCTAAGTTTACTTGGCAAAGAGGCGTGTTATTGCAACGTCTTGATCACACGATCGGCAATGTGCAACAAATTATTACTTTTAATAAATGATAGTGTGACATTTGCCTAAGATTAATTCTGATCACCATCCGTTAGTGGTACAACTCAAGTGGTGCAATAATTCACGGCATGGTAACTCTTTTTAAAGAACTTAAAAGAGTCGGGCCTAAAGGTTCTTTGATGCAAAATTTATCATTCTTTGCAAGCTTGACCTTCAAAAATAGTGTTTAAACAAGTGGTCTAAAGAACTTGACTTTCATTGACTACTTCAAAAATAAATGTTTTGATATTAATTAGAAATTTCTAATGACATAAATTTACTTCTTACTTGACCCTTTCAATTATTTTTTAAGGAAATTGTTATGAAAACACTTGGTAAAAATTTATTTCCAGATTATTAATTAATTAACTAGGAAGAAGGATAAGGATAATTAGGTATTAAAGATCAATTCCAAAGCTAATTACCCTTTCATAGATTTTTGTTGGTCTTTTAATCTTTGCTAATTTTTGTTTTTTAGATTGCATATTTAGTTTAAATTTCAATTTTAAAATCTCCCTTATATGGCATTCTAGAGTGATGGAAGAATGACGGAAAAGTCTTAAAAAAATTAATTAATTCAATTTGATCCTAAGTGCCAAATTTTAAAGATTTGTAAGTTTGACTCTCAATTTTAGTTAGAAAAACAAATTTATTTATTTTTTAACCATGTTAAAATTTAAAAAATAAATTATAATTCATCGTAATAAAATTACAAAATTGAAAACTGAACTTACAAATTAGTAGAGTTTAGTACTTAGGATCTAGGTTGAATTAATTAGTCTATTAATTTTGATCTCATTCCACAATGGATTGCTACTCAATAATTGTTACTCAACAAGAGGAGATATATGTTAAGTGAATTTCATACTCTTAATTATTTAACACGCTGCTCAAATAAACTGATTAATAATGTCAGCCAATCAATGCTAAATGATACAGACCCCGACTGGGAGGCTAAAGCCAAGCCTCCACCATCAAATACACACACTAGAGATTTTGGACTCTAGAATTCTTATGATTTTTCACAACACAGAACAATATCTTACTCTACAACAGAGTAAACTAGCACAAATCAGTATCATACTAAGTATAATAACAAGTCAAATTTTCCCCCAAAGAACAATTTCTTTGTTTTGCTACTATATCACCATTGCATTCTTCTTCAGCCATAGCTTAACCGAGAATCAAAAGACTTGGCGGATGTCTGACGCCTTGGAATACCAATTTCACAGGCATTGACTCTGGCAGCAAAACGGAGGGAGCAAAGTGACTCTCCAGAAGAGGAAGCATCAGGTGACACATTTACAAACATGAGTGTTTTCGAATCTCCTCCCAGACATGGCTGTAACTCATGGAACAGAGCAAAAAGTTCAATATAATGGAGGAGAGCATCATCATAAGAAGAAACAAGAAATTTAAACAAAAAAAATTCAGATAAGTATGAGGCAGAAATGTACTGATTAATTCTAACTTTATATAAGATTTTAATTTAGTCCTTTAATTTAATGAAGTTTCTTTTCAGTCCTTTAACACTAACACTTAGTCTCAAATGATACTTAATATGTCAACATTTGAGAATGTTCTATCAATATTAAAAAGTTTAGTGTCAACATTTTTTTGTTAATGAAATTAATAGTATTAGGATTAAAGGACTAAAAAACCACTTCATAAAGTTAAAGAGGTAGAATGAAACTTTATGTGAAATTAGAGAATTAAATGTGCACTGTCTTTACTAATATTGTCATCGTCACTATGTCTGTAGAAGTTGTAGGAAGCCACTCTACCTAAGTTTAAGGTTTATTTCAGGTGCCATGCAATTGCACCATATTACTAGTTTATTTTATTTAATATATTGGCTTGAAGTGTTTTTCTAGATCAAATGTTTCCTTCAAATTTATCATAGACTGAAGCTTTAGGAAATTGTTGATATGCATATTCCCAGTTTCCCACCCTTGTCAGTGCCATGCTTCTTCTTTTTGCCCCGGAAGAAAATATCTAGAAATTTAAGCCTAACGATGTACATGTGCTGGTAATAGCTGACGGCCTGTCTCATTTAAGCTTTAAGTAGCATTTTTATTCTGCCTAAACCAACAAAATCAACGTACCCAACACAACTCACCCTTAAATCAAAATGTGAATGTCTACATTAAACTAGATTTATCAAACGAGGCCAAACTACTCATTGGAAAACAAATTGTGATTATCAAATAAAAAGATGAAATTATTAATCTTTAATGCAAGATCAATTGGAAATTCATATTTTCACATACCTGGAGGAGGTATGTCAGTTTTGAATTCCTGAAAGGAACATGCTCTTCTTTCTTGGCCAAAGCAAATATGACATCACTCAAAGACGATAAACTTTTGTTGATAGCCTGAACAAAATGGCAAAATATGGTTAGTGATTCATTTAAGGCAATAATGTTATTCACTAATAACAAGAAGCCTTATCCCACTAAATGGAGTCAGTCACATAGAAATAATATTATTCATCATGAGTTCAAGTTCATGGTATGCAAGCAAAACAAACCTGGGTCTCCTTAAGTCGGTCCCCAGTTGCTCCACTCCTCGACAGTCTTTCACTTCCAGCCAAATCAATCAAATTTAAGACACCTTGCACTTGTTGTTCAGTATTCTACAAAACGAAGGACATCAATATAATACATCCACTTTTTGTGTGTGTGTGTGGGGTTGGGGGGGGGGGGAGACGGGAATAAACCCAGGTGCAGTATACTATGAAAGTACACACCTCATTAATTCCACATATCCGCAAAGTAAAGACAAAATGGCTTCTTGATGACTGTTCATTCATCTGTGTTCTTCCTACAGACCTAAAATAACAGAAGAATCCCATGCCATTAATATATAGAACAGTTGGTTAAATATTAAGGGTTATTTATATCTTAATCATATAAACTAATTTACTGAAAAAGAAACTTCCACGTATCAAGAAACTTGATTGTTCAATTTTGACCAGTTCAAAAATTAAAATAAATAAATAAAATCTTCATTTGACGTCGGAAAAGAACACGCAATTCACTAGTGCATTGATCCAGAAAGTTTATTCAATCCTAACTTCAGCATGCAAAATAAAAAGGAATAGGAGGATCTAGACATTCTATAATATAAACTAGAACAAATTATACCTGCATTGTGCAGCCTGTTGAAGAAGAGATGAAATCTCATTTACACTACAAACGTCCACAATAGTGAGGTCAGAAACATGCGTGTTTCCATTGGCATCATGTTTAATAGTGTACTGTTGCTTCCCAGGAACACCATTTTCAGTTCGCGTCTGATCAATCCCGCTAGACCGATTTGATGACAACAAATCACGAATGGTCTCATTATATATTTCTAGTATTGAAGCCTGTAAATATTTAACAAATTACGTCAAAAAATCAGTTTGTAGATGTAACCACATAATAATCAAAATAAAAATATATTGACCTGCATTTTGTACTTCCACCCCTGCTCTTTGAGGGCTTGACTAGTCTGGAAGATTTGTTCTAGAGAACGTGGTATCAATCCTTTCAAATCTGGGGCATCAGGCCTACCCATCATTGTATAAGTTTTGCCAGAACCTGTCTGACCATATGCAAATATGCATACCTAACATAACAAATCCAAGTCCCTATGTCAAATCACATCTAGTATATAGAAACACATGAAATGCAAGAGAAAGAAGATAAGGAAATGCATAGTAAAAGCTCAAAGGAACAAATAATATCTAGTGGCGTAACACTGTTCCATTTCAATGCTTGCTTTCCTGAATGAAAAGTAGACTTCTCTTTTTCGAGAGATAGATCCAACTTGGATATGTTGCTTAAGGCCACATAAACACCAACAATAGATAGCTTTCAAAAGCACTCAACTATAGCTATAAACAATGCCTCTCAAAATTCCAAGTGAGCTTAACCTCAAGCAAAAGTCCACAGTAAGTCATAAACTTTTAACTTGGAAAATTGACACTAAAACCATAGCCATTTATTCTGAACTAAGGAGACCAAACTCTAAGCATATTACGACAAAGTAATCATCTGAAAGACAATATCAACCAAATAAATTGACATCGTTCTTCTATAGTGCTAATTTGAAAATTATTGTCCGATTAAAACACAGATCCACAAATTAAATGCAACTTTATAGAACTATCTATCTTCAAAGACAATAGAAAGCACTCTTCATTCCACAATCTTACAACCGAGTCCTTCCAATTTGTTATAACCTTTCTAATGTATTCAATCCTACATAGCAAATAATAAACAAAGGAAAGTTAAAATCACCTTGTATCCATCAAGCGCACTTTGTACCAATTGTGATATTTCAGTGAAAACGTCTTGCTGAGTAGCTTCGTGATTAAAGACCTTGTCAAATGTAAAGGGATACTTTTGCCCTGTTGATCACCAAAGAACGAAATTTTTCTCGTATTCTCGTGTTGTAATTCAAGAAAGGATACACACTACATAAAACTTATGAGAGAAACAGCATCATAAAGGAGTTAAAAAGTAAACATTTATACCACTTTGTACTAATTCAATGCCTCGGCCAAGAGCTTCTGTTGATGTAGGATAAGAAACAACCATGTCTGTTCCAACACCATCTTCTGGCAGCAAAGGTCGCACTCGGCAAAACACGCGAATGTTCCCTTTAAGCTCCTAATATTGGGTGCCACTAAATTATTATTTAGAAATAAGAAGCAAAGATATTTTTTCCTTAATATCAGAAAAATGGAGTATTACAAGGATAGTGTTGTGTAATTTTTTCCTTAATTTCTCCCCCTCGATCACTTGGAACTCTCTATCAGCTAGACGATCTTGTAGTTCATGTATAAGTCTTCTCTGCTCTTCAAAACTTGTTCTTGTTTCTGAAACAGATAAATCTGCCATCTGACAGAAAGATAATAAATGCAATGAGCACTGCATGCATAAATTGCCTAAAACCATTCATAACTTTGGGAAGTTAAACAAAGTCAAGCAATTGTTTTCGCAACAAAAATACTAATTTCATTACCTTTACTTTCTCCTTTTCAGCAGCAAGCTGTTGCTGCAGTATATTTATTTGCTCTCTTTGAGAAGAACATGTATCCTGTAAAAGAAAGCCCACAATCTAGAAATCTAACCAGCATGGGAGTGCACACTAAATATATAGAACAAAAGAATATAATGACAAGAGCATTTAATCGTGGAGACAAAGCAAAACAAACCTCAACAGCATTTATTTTAATCGTCAGGTTGTCCAACTGTGCACAAGAATTCCCTGTAAATTCTTTATAGTACGCTACTTCATCAGTTAAAGCCTTTACTTGTGCCAACTGCCTATCACGATCATCCCTAATTAGCTTCAATTCTTCACGAAGACTATTCAACTCCTGTACTAGCCCATCTTTTTGCTTTGTAGCCTCTTCCATTGAAGCCTAAACAAAGATAACAAGAGAATGGAGAAAAACAACAAAAGAGACTTTCAAAGACATTTATAGTGAGGAGTAACAATAAGGAATTTATAATAATAGCATAATGGCATCTAGCTTATATCTCCAAAGCATCCACTCTCCAGAACCATTTATAATTACAACACATGAAAAGCATTTATTATTAAACAAGTTGAGGTTGCCACCAATCAACAAAAGGGCTTCAAGGCAAGCTAACAACGCAAAGCTCTGGTGGAACTACACTCTATCACCCCCAAGACCATAAATTCCAATGTCTCCACAGCACTTATCACGATTACATTATTTTCCACATAAAATAGGGGAAAACTGTAAAATTAAAACTCTTGATTGACAAAGCACTATACAAAGAAAACACGCAACGGCATAAGAGAATGTATATCTAGTACAATGACTTACTTTAACAGATGCCAACTGATCCTGCAATGCCTTGTTGTGACCTCTAACGTTTCTAAGGTTTTCAACAATGGTTGCTTTCTCCATTTCCAGTTTCTTATGTGATTCATTAGTTGATTCAAGTTCTGACTGGAGGCGACTATTATATTGTTGTAGACTCATATTATACTCTTGAGAACGCTTGTACAATTCATCATTTGAATTTGCCTGCAAAGCAACAATTTCAGAAACAGAGGCAAGGAAACAATATTGCTGTAACATGATCATGCTAGAGTCTAGAGTAGAATATACCAGGCAGGAATATTTTTTGGGCACAAAATGATTGTAACTCTAATATTCAACATGTAGATGTTTCTTGCTTAGATAATTATTTATCATTTTGCAGTACCTTCCGCTCAAGAACTAATTTCTCTTGCCGAACTTTCTCAAGCTCAGTCGAAAGGGAATCTTGCACTTTTTCAGCTGCACTTCTGGCTTCCTTTTCTTTTTCATGACATTCAATTGCTTCCTGATTATTAAACAACAAGGGATCATCAGGAAACAAGAAATTTTAATGAGCATTTAATCACCATGTTGTATGGCTAGCAATCTTACCCTCTTACACGACTCTTCCTTTGCAATTCTCTCTTCCAAAGAAGAAATTGTCTTTCTCATATCTGATATTGTCTCATTCAACTCCTCGATCTTATTTTTCATTTCAGTCTCTGAGAAAGTATTAATGTATGATGATTACGAAGTGTTCCGTTGAGAGAAATGTTAAATTATGAGTTGCAATAAAAAAATTAAGCCGTAAATACTTTGAAAATGTTCTTTAATGAAAACATAGTGCTTTATCTAGGGTAGCAAATAAATTGTCAGAACTTCTTAGAAAATATTAACATGAATATAAATGATAAACGACTCAATTCCCAACTGCTGGAGCCAAAACATAAGAAATCAGCTACACTGTTCGAAACAAACAAGGCAACAGTGTATATCTTTCTAATATTCTTTACTTCAGGCCATTGAAAAGAATATAAAATAAAAGAAAATGAAAAATGAATCCTTCCCTGTAGTAAAGTGAGCCAGCATAAGAGCAAGGATTTCAACTCCATATTTTCAGTGTATTGGAAACAACCTCAATTCTAGCCAACGCAGAGTTCAACTACAGCTCACCAGTATCAATGCACTTCTTCTCAGCAGATTCAAGTGCGGACTGAAGCTTTTCCTTTTCTTCGATATAGCCTTCTTCAAGTTTTTTAAACCACTTTACACAAAGCTTAAGCCGCTTAATAATATCTGCCATCTGCTCCATTTTTTTCTGCAAAATAAGTGGAAAAACAATGAAATAAACACAAAAGAAGACCCTAATGCCAAAAAATTGAAATCATTGGTTAGACATGGAGAACGAATTGGATAAAGATTCCATAAGATAAGGAAACCTTATTATCATATTGATTTGCCTTTTTCATCTTCTCATTCAATAAGGCCTCCACATCCTCTTTGGTGAACTCGACAATTCTACATTCTGAACCATCCGCACCGCCAACATCATTTGTTGTATTAGCTTCTGGCCCTTTGTTCACTGGGTTAAATGGCAGCCTTGCCCTGCCGGTGGTTCCCGGTCTATCCATCCTCCGACGTTTGTCAAGGGGGATTTCTTCAGCCGCTGCCTTTTTCTAATTCAACGCAAAATAAATAAAAAAATATTTAGTGCCCCAGTTCCTTCTTTTTTCTAGTTCAGAAAACAGAAAGTGCGAAAAGTCCTTTAGTAACATTAGAAACAAACAAGATTTGGAAGACTTTTGCTATCTTCGAAACATCTAAACAAAAAAGCAGACAGCAAAACTTACCTTTAGTCCAAGAAAAATGGGACAAAATGTTTATTCATTTCTCAGGTTTCTTCCCACGAAACCCTTAACCACCAAGCAAACCCACTAATACATGAACAATAAAAGAAGACTTACATGTGAGGGGCTATAAGGAGGCCTGTTCTGGTTCCTAGAAGCCATATCTGGCTTCGCAGAATGGCGATTTCCGCAGAATCTCTTTGAACCGTGCCTGATTTGGGATTCTAGGGTTCACAGTTCTCACAAACAAAAGGAGAGCAAAAGAAAGAAGCTAAGGAAAGGAATGAAGTAGCCGTGAGGAATGGAGAGCGTAAAATTTGAATTTGGATGCGCCTCTGATTCGAATCTGAAAGTTAAACCGGAATTTTAAAAATAAATAAATAAACAAAGCGGTTCGGCGTCGGGCTCCGGTTCAAATTTGAAAACAACGGTCATCTCTATTATTGATAAATATTAAATTAAATTAAATTAAAGTCCTATCATAGCACAGGAGAGCAAAATTCAAAATGCCGATGGGGTCTTGTTGACAAAATAAAATCTCTGTGCATAGCTTGGTTCAAACATTTGAGTAGGTCAAATTAATTCACAGATTATATGAAGATATAATATAATTAATTATTTTCATTGGGATAAATTTAAATGCCAAGTCTTATGAAAGTAAATATTTAAATTTTTTTTTGATAATGCATAAGGAAATATTAAATATGTGCTTGGGCTAAAATATAATTTTTGTGTTTAGGCTAAAATCTTATTTGCTGGGTTGGCCAAAAAAATCTTATTATTCAGCTCAAGTCCATCTAAATCTTCTAGGAGGAGTGAGATTGCAACAGCGAATGAATTTCATATATTAAAAAAATAAAAAAACACTATTTTTAGTTCATATACTTTACTTAAATTCCTTCACTTTATTTTTATTATTTTAAGTTTTTACACTTTTGTCCATTTATAACATTGGTCCTTATATTTTTCAAGAAACGTTGATGTGGCTCAAACATTTTAAATAATGCTAACATATCAATTCATATCGTTAATTATTTCCTTATGTGTTAAACTGATGCTGACATGGAAATTTTTAATAAGCAAAATTTTAAAAAAAAATCTACATCAAATGAAATAAAAAGGTTGATCTAAACTCTTTAAATGATTAGAAAAACACACAAATTCCATGTAGATTCTTTTAAAAAAATTGCTTATTAAAATTTCTAAGTTTATCAATTTGACATGCACACACAAAATTAACAATTTTAATTGATATGTTAGTATTATTAACACCATTTATGTTACATCAATGTCTTTTTAAAAATATAAGACTAATGTTATAAACAACGAAAAGTATAGAGATCTGAACATCAAAAATAAAATGTAAAAATCTATATCAAAACTCAAACAAAGTGCAGAGATTAAAAATAATATTTTTTAAAAAAAAAATCATGCATCACTTCAACAGAAGGCAAGAGTGATGAAGTTTTCCATAAGAGGGTGCATGATGATAGAAACTTAAGGCAACCACTTTTTTTTTTTTTAACTCTCTTTTGAAATGTTTTAATATATGTTTTCATGAAGAGTGGAGAAAATTTTGAGAATAATTGCAAATAATGACCTTAAAAAATTAGAATGTAGAGTCAAGAGAAATGTTACTTTTTGCCTATAAAAGAGAAGGCAAGACACAAATACGAGAACCTCTCCAACCCCTCCAATAATACTCTAATCAATTCAACACTTCGTCTGATTAAACTAGACACTTTCTTTTGTAGCATTAGATGTGGTTCCCTCACATCAGAATGCATCAAGTAGAGAGTAATGAGCCTCTAACAATTAGTAGAGCAACAACTTCCAATCCAACAATATTACAATAATATCACCCCTTTAGTGTTGTTCTTTTAGTTTCCATCTAACATTTTCTATAATTTCTTTAATATTAGTATCAATATCATGTTTGATCTCACAATGCAACTCTTCCGCTTTTTTTCATTTTTATTTCTTTATTTTTAAATACTTGTATTTGGAAAAATTATAATAAAGGATCCCAAAAACATTGTTTGATTTAAAATTAAGGATATAGTATGGTTTGAAGATACACTTCTGTACCATGCCAACACACCAGAGAACACGACAAACACTATGCTTAGAATTGTAAAACCTCAACTTGATTCCAAAAATTTGGGACTTGATTTTTATCTACTCCACATCCATTACAACTATATGACATGTGAAATTATTCCCACTCAATCGATAGCATAACTCAATTGTAAGTTTTAAAAAATAAGTTATAAATATTAAACATTTTAATTATAAGCATTAACCCAATATTTGGCTAACAAGATAAAATATGGAAATAAGTAGTTCATAATGAAAAAAGAAGAAGAAAGCACGTTTAAAACTCCAAAAAGAAAAAAAAAAGAAAAAAATCACATTTAAGTCTTGCAAAAGAAAATTTATTATTTAAAGATCTCGTGAATTTCACAAAATACTTTCAAGTTTTAAATTCTATATTTTAATAATTTGACTAAGGGTATTAATAACTTTACAACGACTATTTATAATTTATAAAAAAATGACAAATTCTTTCAATAAAGCCTAAATGTAATTTTTTCAAAAAAAAATGTCATTTTGCCAATAAAATGATATTTGGTTTTCTGGTCTTTTTTTTAAAAAAAAATTGCCTCTAAAAACTCAAAAGTCAAACCCAGATTAACTTGAAGCATTAACCCTTTGTCGTCATGAATTGTAAACGATAGTAAATAATGCAAGATGAATTGGTTTATAACTCAATTTCACACCATATATTGTCGATCATCTTCAACGAACTATGGTAATAAAAATATGTTTGTACTTAAAAATTTTCAACTAATCATGTAAAATTTATAACTCAAGTGTTTATGATTTTGTTGATTTTTATTTATGAATAATTATTTTAAAAAGTCTTTGTATGCGATTCTCCCTTTAAAAAATATGATATTTTTTATGATATAATTTATGGTTTTTTTTTGGGGGGGGGGGGGAGAACTTAGCCCCTAAAAGACTTTCTATGATAAAAGAATCCTGTGGAAAATTTGCTACCGGGGCACATTTCTGTTTTTCCTGAAATTATTGGTCTACTTTAGTTGTTAATGATTTATGTATTAAAAATTCACTAAATGTAAGCTTTAAATATTTTCCATTTTCATTTTTAAAATATAAGTTTATTACGTTAATATAAATTAATATAGATATACTTATCATTTTTTAAATTAAGTACATATTTACTCCTTTAATTTTACATAATATTTCAATTTAATTCCTTAACTTTATAAAATGTCTTTGTATTCAATTAATCTTGACATTGTTAGTTTTATTCTAATAAATTTTTATATTAAACTTTAAAATATTGACAAAATATTTTAAAGTGTTAACATATTAAGTTTAATTTTTTCAAAATAATAATGATTGACACCAAAAATAATTATTTAAAATTAAAGATATTAGGGTTAAAAGACTAAAAAAATATTTTACAAAATTAAAGGACTAAATTAAAACATTATATAAAGTTAAAGGACTAAAAATATACTTTAACCTTAAATTAAAAAAATTAATAATAAAATATAGAACCTAATAAAAAATCCCTCTAACTTTTTTTTGGCCTCTAACTAATCATTAAAATCGATCATAATCTTTAAATCATCACTTTATCAAATTAAGGTAAAATATAAAACATACAAAAAAGACATGGGATTCACAAGTATGAATCTTTTTTTTTTATTCTTTTAATGTTTATTCATACTCATTAATTAATTCTTCAGCCATAGCTCATCCGAGAATCAAAAAGATGACTTGGAGGATGTGTGACGCCTTGGAATGCCAATATCACAAGCATTGACTTTGGAAGCAAAACGAAGAGAGCAAAGTGACTCTCCAGCAGAAGAAGCATCAGGTGACACATTCACAAACATCAATGTTTTTGAATCTCCTCCTAGACATGGCTGCAGAGTGCAATGCATGGAACAAATAACAGAGCATCATCATAAGAACAACTAAACTTTCTGAAACGATAGATGAAGTTAAATAAAAATAACATTGCTTAATGTTAGAGATAAAAAATATCGCTTTAGTTGAATCTTATTTTATACTTTTTAAGTATAAGTTCATGAATGTCATAATAAATACTACAAGAGTAAAATTTAGGGATAATATAATTTTTTGCTCCTAAACTTTCTCTCAATTATCGATTCAATTATTAAATTTTCACTTAGTAAAACTTAGCTTTTGTAGTTTATTGAATTAAAGAATTATAGATATTTAGTTGTACCAAGTCAATATATATATATATATATATAAGGATTGAGTTGTTTAAAGTCAAAAAATTATGAGAATTGAGTTGTTTTGAGTTAAAGTTGAAGGACTAAATTAAAAATTGAAAATAAATTCAGGAACCAAAATTTATTTAGACTGCATTTAGCAAGTTACTTCCATAATTGTGAGAAAAACATGAGGCTTAACTTCTCAAGAAGTTGCCAACTAATTCATATTCAAGTTGGTCCATCTCCTAATTACATAAGGCTAGAGCTTATGGTTACTTCTATTTTATTTATATTTATTATTAAGCTCAATTCTATCTAATGTGTCAACTTGCAATGGACATCCTAGCAATTTCCTTCTAAGTGTGAGGTCCATTAACTTTTCATATTTAAGACACAACAAACACAGAATTAGGGGCAATCTCATTTTTATTTTTCCAAATAGCCTAGACTCAAGCCTATTTAAATAAACAGACCAAACATTATTAGAAATATCAAGAGACTAATATTTTTTTTGCTTCGAGAGTAGTTTGAGAATGTTGTGGTAATTTTGAAAAAATCAAGATTCGTAAATAATTTTAACCACCTTCTAAATTGATATGAACATACGATTATATTAAAAATGCCTTATAAATATGACGGAATAGAGTAATAATAACTAACGCAACAAATCATTCATGATTTTGTAGTTTAACTTGCCTGGAGAAGGTAGGTCAATTTTGAATTCCTGAAAGGAATATGCTCTTCTTTCTTGGCCAAAGCAGATATGACATCACTCAAAGACGATAAGCTTTTGATGATAGCCTAAGCAAAATGTCAAAACATCATCACTGATAATTCATTTAAGTAAATAAAGTTATTCACTATGTTCTCAAAAGTTCATGGAATACAAGAAATAATATTGAACCTGTGTTTCCTTAAGTCGGTCCCCTGTTGCCTCACTCCTTGATAGTCTTTCACTTCCAGCCAAATCAATCAAATTTAAGACACTTTGCACTTGTTGTTCTGTATTCTACGAAGGAAAGGGCATCAATGCATCAAATAAGAGAGAGAGTACAATACTCTCTTTTGGTCTCTTTGTTTTTTCAAAAGCTTTAAGTAAGTTGGGTTTTAGAAGCGCATTAAGGCCAAGACTTAGCTAAAAAAAATACTAACCAAAGTATTTACAAATCTCCACTGACAAAATTGCCACATTAATAATGATATTGAACTCATATCTTCATGTGATGTCGTTTAACTCAGTAACTCCTTACCAATTAGACATTTTTATTGGCTGCCTTTGATCCTTTTTATTGAAACCTTTTGGGAGGTTTGTCTTGGACGTTTTATAAAGCTTTCTATAAATTGTCTATTACATAAATTATTATCTTTTTTTGACAAAACTTCCCTTAATTATATTTATTAATTAATTAGGTCAAAGAGATTAAGAGAACGGGTCTCATAATTGTAAGGGTAATTACTTCTAGAAGAATAACACAAATGGATTAATATAATTTGTGTAACAGACTATTTAGAAGGTTTTATAAATTCCACTAACAAAACTAATTAAATTCCTTAGTTTTTGTAATGTGCAATGAATGTATTATGAAAGTATGTACCTCATTGATCCCAAATATCCGCAAAGTAAAGACAAAATGGCTTCTTGATGACTGTTCATTCATCTGAGTCCTTCCTACCGACCTAAAACAACAAAAGGTAATGTCAAGAGATTAATACAGAGAACAAACAACAATAATTTAAATATGAAGGTTGTAGTGCGTTCTAAACCATAACAGTATTATTTATGTATAAAAATATATTTGCTAGCTCTACTACAAAAATAGCTTTAAGAAGCACTCTTGTCAGAGCAGTTATAAAAAAGCTAGAATAAAGCAAAACAAAACCAAATTAGAGCATGCAGTTTACTGGTTCATTGTTTGTGAAAGTTCATTCAATCTTAACTTCATCAAGCAAAATAGAAATGAACAAGAGAATCTAGACATTCCACAATATAAACCAACTGAACAAGCTGTACCTGCATTGTGCAGCATGTTGAAGGAGAGATGAAATCTCATTTACACTAGAAACATCTATAATAGTGAGGTCAGAAACATGTGTATTTCCATTGGCATCATGTTTAATAGTGTATTGTTGCTTCCCATGAGCACCATTTTCCTTTCGTGTTTGATCAATCCCACTTGGACGATTTGATGACAACAAATCTCGAATGGTCTCATTATAAATTTCTAGTATCGAAGCCTATAAACAGGTGACAAACTATGTCACAATTTCAGTTTGTAGATGTAAATACGCATGATACAACAATAGCAAGCTTATCCCACTGCATGGGATCGGCTCAGCTGCATAGATTATATTATGTAATTGAAGCTACATGATAATCAAAATAAAATGGTATTATTAACCTGCATTTTGTACTTCCATCCTTGATCTTTGAGGGCTTGAGTAGCTTGGAAGATCTGTTCTAAAGAACGTGGGATCAATCCTTTCAAATCTGGGGTATCATGCTCACCCATCATTGTATAAGTTTTGCCAGAACCTGTCTGGCCATATGCAAATATGCATACCTAACATAGCAAGACCAAGTACCTATGTCAAATCACATATAGCATATGGAAACATAATATATAATGAATTGCAAGAGAAAGAAGATTAAAAAAATGCATAGCATAAACACATACCAGAGTTTATCTTGACAGGTTCAATGAATTTTTTTTTACGACTGATCTAATCACAATTTGACTACAATATTAACCATTAACTCTTGAACTAGTTTCTTGATGGATTTAATAATCAATCCAATTCTCAGTACGTTGAATGAAATATTAGAGAAAGAAGATAAAAATTTTAAAACAAAAACGCATAGTAAAAATTTGAGGAACCAATGATCCTTTCCATTTCTATGCTTTCTTTCTTGAATGAAAAGGCATAGACTTGTCTTTTGCAAGAGATAGATCCAACTTGGATAATTAAATTAATTAAGGCCACATAAACACCAAGGGGGTCTCTTTCCATTGTACTCAAACTATAGCTACAATGCCTCTAAAGAATCCAAGCACAAATCCAATGTCCGTGGTAAGTGATAACATTTAACTTAGAAAAATGAATGGAATTAAAAGTGTAGCTTTTTATTCAGACCAACGAGGCAAAATAGCAACCAAATCAATTGACAACATGCTTCTAAAGTACTAAGTTAAAATTTGTTATCCCATTAAAATACAACTTTATGGATCCATTTGTTTCCAAAAGGCCAATAAAGAAGGGGGGAAAAACTCTTTTGTCTTCAATCTTATTTGCAAGTGGCAAATACTCCCGTCAGTCTTTACTATAACTACCTTCCTCGTGATCCATAATAGAAGACCTTTTGTCTAAAGCGTTTATTGTTTCCTTTAACTAGCACTAATTAATTAATTAAACGACCTCATCTAGTTAATGAATTATATTGACGATAATTTTAAAATTTTACAACAATTAACTAATTTTAAAAAACTTTCTTAATCTATGCCAAGTTGTTAACATGTGCCTATGAAAAGAACGTAACATGAAAGAGTTATAGACAATGGACAGATTCAAAATCACCTTGTACCCATCAAGCACACTTTGTACCAATTGTGATATTTCAATGAAAACGTCTTGTTGAGAAGCCTCATGATTGAAGACCTTATCAAATGTAAAATGATATGTTTGCCCTGTTGATCATAAAAGAATGAAATTATATTCTTGAATTCTCATGTTATAGTTAAAAAAAATACATTTATACAATACATAAAACTAATATGAGAAATAGCAGATGACCTAGTAAGTGCTCATACCACTTTGGACCAATTCAATGCGACGTCCAGGAGCTTCCATTGATGTTGGATAAGAAACAACCATTTCTGTTCCAAAACCATCTTCTTGTAGCAAAGGTCGAACTCGGCAAAACACACGAATGTTCCCTTTGAGCTCCTAACATTGGATGCCACAAAATTATTATTTACAGATAAGAAATAGAAAAACTTTTTTTTAATCCTTAATGTCAGAGGAAAAGGAGTATTACAAGGATACTGTTGTGTAAATTTTTCCTCAATTTCTCTCCCTCAATCACTTGGAATTCTAGTTCCTTTATAAATTTTTTCTGCGCCTCAAGATTTGTTTTTGTTTCTGAAGCAGATAAGTTGGCCATCTGACAAAAATTAAAAACATAATAATAAATGCAATTAGTACTACATACATAAATTGCCTCAAAAGTTCATTACTTGGGGATTTTTAACAAAATTAAGCAATTATTTTAGCAGGGAAAAAATATATATATTTGCTTGCTTACCTTTGATTTCTCCTTTTCATCAGCTAGACATTGCTGTAATGTATTTATTTGCTCTTTCTGAGAAGAACATGTTTTCTACAAAAGAAAGCCCACAATATTGAGTGCATAACGTGCATAGTGCAAAGGATGATACTCTCCCTAATCCCATTATAGGTCAATTCCAACACACTTTACCAAAATCAAGAAAAATTAAAGTTCATCTTTAAAAATTTAATAAGTTTTCAACTTTATCTCTGTTAAATACACTCCATCTATCTCAGTTCATAAAATACTTTTGAAGTTAATTTGGTACTCCAAAATATAAAATATTTTGACAAAATTAAAGTCTTGTTAATAATACTTGTTCCATTAATATTACCCTTCCCTCTTTATCATATATATCTCTCTATTTAATATTTCATAAATAAAATGCCTTATAAATAGAATAAAGAAATTTATAGTTTTGTTAATTATACTTGTTTCATCAATTTTACTGACATGCATGAAGTCAATAAAATACCTTATAAATAGAATAAAGAAATTCTTATCGCTCTGCCTTATAAATAGGTCTAATGAAGTAATATCAAAAGTGTAGAGACAAGGCAAAACAAACCTCAAGTTCATCCAATTGTCTATCACGATCATACCTAATTTGTTCCAATTCTTTAAGGAGACAATAATTGGCAAAACAAAGCAACGGTACTAGGACATCTTTTTGCTTTATAGCATCTTCCATTGAAGCCTGACAGATAAAGATAACAAGGGATAAAAGGAAAAGGGCAACAAAAGAGACTATTAATTAATACATTTATATTGATTAGTGACAATAATTAAGGAATTTATAATAAGATAGCATCAAGCTAATATCTCTAAAGTATATATCCTCGCTTGAAAACTACTTACAATTATGACATGTACTAAAAAATTCATAAACTATATTAAATTCAGGACCTTGCACGAAGAAGGTGCCAAGTGCCAACAAAGGACTTCAAGGCAAGCTAACAATTCGAAGATCTAGTGGAGTTATGCAACATCTTCAAACTAGAATATTTAAAATAATATATCTAGTTAAATATAACTATGTGAAATAAATTATAAGCTGCAAAATTTGAATTTAAGTAGATATATTTATTTGTAACACTAGGAATTTATAATAATAAAATGTTCATTGTTTCAAAGGAATTTTTAAAACTTGGAATATATATGTTTGTGTGTGTGAGATAATTTTTACAACATTTTGCACTAAGTAATGAAGAAAGGATTAGAAAATTGTAAATAAACTTATGCTAAACTAAATAGTGGTAAGTAAATTTGGATTAGAATATTTTACATCCTTTGACATACATGGGACAGCAAGTGTTTGTTATTGGTGAAGACAACAAACTCACGGCATGTTTGGATTCCCATTTAGAATTAATTCTGGAATTAAACTCATATTTTTACAAAAATTTGTCCAAATATCTTCAATTTTGTAAAACTCCATTTGGCTTGTGGAACTCTATTATGGAGAAGCTATTTGTTTTTTCTATTTGAAAATTAATTCTTAACATTTGAGCATTTTCTATTTCTCCCCATCTTTGTAATTGATTCCAAAAAATTATCCAATTATCAAAATTATCAAAATTAATTTTAAAAAATATTATCCAAACATTATCATGTTTTGTCGACCAATTTTTTTATATAATCAGTTCTTGCCAATTGAAATTCAAACACACCGTTAGAATTAAGAAAACACGTGGCTAAGAAGATGCCAAAAAAACTTAGCATAAGGATGCAAATACAAATAAAATGCCATCATGTCTTATTCCCCAAGTCCTCCCCCTTTAGGTGAACATGCGCGGATCATGACTACGAAGATTGCTATTGAAAGTTTGAAACTCATTTATATCTGATCTTTCATTATTCATTTAATTGATTTTAAATCCTTCTTGTTATCTTTCTTACTTATCCATTTTATTTTTTCTTTGCATGCTTTTATCAACGTTATGATTGATCTCTTGGCTTATTTGGTCGTTTTTATTCTCTAGCTTCTTATTTTATTTTATTTCTTCACATTGTGTATCACTTTTAAGTAGTTTAGAGATTTTATAAACAGATATTTATTTTGTAGAATAAAAAAAGAATACATTATTTTATGTTTAGTTAAGATGATAAAAAATAATTATTAGTTAATTATTTTTAAATTTTTTGATATTTTCCTTAATCTTTATTTTATAAAAATAATTTTTTATTTAATTATTTTAAAATTGTATGATATCTTTGCATATACCGTCATTTTAAAACATTTTATTTTATCTAAGGCATCAAATTATTTTCAAAAGCTATTCAAAATTACTTTTTAAAAATAATTAAAAATATATATTTTTGGAATTCTACTTATTTTTAAAAATTTAAACAAATATCATAAAAAAAATTATAGAATAAATTTAAAAAATAAGTATTTTTTTCATAAATAAGCTAAAACAAACTAACCTTTATTTAATCGTCTGTTTCTTTTTTTATATGTTATAATTATTTTATTACATTGTCTTCACTATTTTATTATTCATTAGTAGTTGATTTAATTTCTATTCATTGCTTTAATTATTAATATACACTAGTAATAATTCATGGGTTTTATCTAATTATGATTTAATTATTTTTATCATCATTCATATTATTGTTTATCACAAATTCAATTGTAAGAAATGAATTGTAATATTAGTGGACAATTGCGTTCGAGTTGGAAAACGGGACGCGTCAGCCCTAATTAGCTCGCTAGAGCTTGAATTCTAAAGCCCATCTCGTTTAATGCAGTTTTCAAAGTCCAATCTGGGCTTAAAGTCAAGCCCATAAATTTTAATTTTTTAAAAAAGTTTAAAAAAAGGGAAAATATAATCTTTAACTCCTATAGTTTCATCAAGTTTTATTTTTAAGTTATTTAATTTTTTTAATATTTTTAATCTCTATAACACTTAAAAATGAAAATTATGGAGATCTGAAAAAAAAAATCACCCATTTTTTTTGAAAATACAAGAATTAAAAACACTAAAAAAATTATAGGCACAAAAAAAAGTTAAAACTATGATAATTAAATATTTTGTTTTTCCAAAACAAAATCCAAATTTGATTATAGAAATTTATGTATGAAGTCTAAATTTTGTACAGTACAGATTAAAAATGTAATAGAACATAATAGTAAAATATTCTAAAATGTGGTAAATATTCCTCATCAACATCCAAAACCAAAGTACTCGAAGCAAATTTAAATAAGAAAAATGTTGGTAAAAAAATTTAAATAAAAATGTGACATATAGCTCAACCCCAGCCCCCTTTTTTTAAAGTTTTTAAACACGAGCCCGAAAACCCTTTTTTTCGTCTTTATTTTCCAAACCCCATCTAAGGTATGGTAAACTGGTCAATAAAGTTTGCCTCTCTTTTTTTTTTTTTTACCAAGAAAAAATCTATACATTTGTTGATGGTTTAATCTTAAATCATCAGTTTAGTTCACATTTATTTAAGGAACTTGAAAAAACACAATCATTGCTCGATGTTTTGTTTTTAGTCTTTATTATTTTTTCAGTATTTTCAAAAAAACTATAAAGACTAAAAAAACTACAAGAACTAAATACAAATCTAATAAAATTATAAGAACTGATTATTGTGTTTTCCCAAATAACTTTCATAACTTACTAGAATTCAAGGATTTTTAATTTGAGAGAATTACTTTGAGATCCCAACAAATTATTTAAATATCACAAAGTCCGTTAACAACTAATAATTGTCAATTTTTTTTTTTTGCTAAGTTGTCAATGATTCTTATGATTTTTTTTTTTTTTTGCCAAAGAAAGACTATCATTTAAACAAGAACAAAATTTGGCCTTGTGGTATTTAAATGTGTTGTGACATACTTATGTATAATTGTCTCTTTTAATTTTTGTTGTATTGATATTTTTATTTAGCTTCCACTAAATTTAAAATATTCTCCAATAATATGAAAGAAATCGCTCAACAGAATAACACAACACAAAGCTACTTACTTGAGCATTTGCCAACTTATCCTGTAATGCGTCCTTGAGACGTCTTATGTTCCTAAGGTCTTCACAAATGCTTGTTTTTATCCTCTTCCAGTTTTTTATTTGATCCTTTGGTTTCTTCAAGATCTTTATGAAGGTCCATATTATACCGCATCAGATCCTTATTGTACTCTTCTACAAGCTTGTTCTGTGAAAACTCAGAAATTTCAGGTAACAGAAGCAGTGAAGAAGCAATAACATCATCATACTAAGGAGTCCAGAGCAGAACATATTGAGAGGGTGATACTTTCTATTTTTGCAACTTTCAATATTCAACTGCTAATTAAATTTTTCTTGTTTGGATAGTTTTTTATTAAAATACAACTTTTGGTCTCATACTTTTAATTTGTTTGGTTTTAATCCCCGTGTGTGTCTATATATATTTTTTCATTGTTCTTAGTCCTAAGTTTGATTTGTCTGCAAATATAAAAAATTGCTCATAAAGACTTAATAGTAATTGCCATGTATATAATTCTTAAATCTTGTAGTAACATGCTATGATGAATTGGATAAAATAAAAGGATTGAATCAGAAAGGCAACATGCGTCCTCTCTTTTGTTTCTTTTATTTTCTTTTATGCGTTCTACTAATTTTTTATCTAACTCATCATAATTTTAATATATCAATAAAACAATTAATGGAATTTATGTACATATTAGCTTAATCAAGTCCCCACAGCCATATTTAAAATTATAGGGACTAAGAACAATGCAAAAAAAAAAATATATATATATATATATACACATATATAGGGCTAATAATTATATATTTCTAATATTTATTTAAAATTTTGCTGTACCTTCTCCCCAAAAGCAACTTTCTCTTGCTTAACTTTCTCAAGCTCTGTTGATAGAGATTCTATCATCTTTGCAGCAGCACTTCTGGCTTCAATGGCTTCCTGTTTATTTATTATAAAAACAACGGATCATCATCAGGAAACAAGAAACTATAAGGAGCATTACTTAATCACAATAAATAATGTTGTCTGGCTAGCAATCTTACCAGCTTACACGACTCTTCCTTTGCAATTCGCTCTTCCAAATCTGATATTGTCTCATTTGACTCCTCAATCTTATTCTCTGAGAAAGTATAAATTTACGATGCTTGGCTAAGTTAAGCATACCACTCATAACCATGTATATCAGTTGTAGCAAAAAGTTAAACAGCCAGCAAATACACTGGATTTTGTTTTGTTTTTACATAGTGCATTTCTAGGGCTACTATGCTATGAGACAAATTTTCAAAACTTACTCAAAAGGGAAGAAAACACACACACACACACACACACACACACAGTGATGGACCTATGTTGAAGACCATGGGAGCACTTGCCCTTCGCACAAGTCTCCTATTAAATTACTCTTGCCATCCCACTTCTAAAAAAAAAAATCGCTTTTGTCCCCCTCCTTTTCTCACAAAAATTTCATTTGTGTCCCCATATAAAATTCCGTTTGCCCCTATTTAACATTTTAAAATCTGGAACATGTTTTATATATATATATATTGTTAACTCAATCATATACTCCCTCCGGTCATCAAAAGGGAGAGAGAAGCGTTTGTTTTGCTCTAATTGTAAGGTATTTTGTTGACTTTATA